TGTGGGTGATTTGTAGTGTTTGGTGAGCGTGTTGATTAAGAATGTAGGAGGAATCCTCTCGTTTGACAGACACGAGGCTGAACGGGGCAACAAACAGCCATTGTTCTGGCTCCTGCATGGTTTCCTGTGAGCACCAGTGTTCAAGATTTAGCTTAGAGTGTGTGTGTGTGTGTGTGTGTGTGCGCGCTTCATGTGGCACTGTGCTCCAAACATCTGTGGATAGAAACTATGCCTGTACCTCATCCCTTTAGTATGTGCGGCTGTATCTGAGTGCTGTGCACAAACATGCATTTATCAGTTCGCCTCAGGTTGGAGGCAACTGAATGACAGCTGTTAGGCGTGCAGAGGAGAGCAGAGGTCGGGACGGCGTTATGGGCAATGACAGCCAGCAGGCTCGTGGCCGGGCTCAGCCCCCGGGCTGTGGACTCTTCACCTGGTGAGGCAGGAGAAATGCCAGCTCAGAGTTGAGGGGAAACAGGAAGCTAGCACAGATGTAGAACAGGAACAAAGTCTGCAGGATACTTGAGTGTGTGCGTGTGTGCGTGCGACGATGAAAGGCTATCATTGGTCTCTGAGATCAAACATGTTTTTACTGATATGTGTTTTAAAGACGTTATTACCTTTATTGTGTGTAAATGAAGGACAGCACACAGACCTGTCTGGGTAAAGTGATCTGAAAGTGTCACAGCTCAATAATCTAAATTTTAAATGTGAGAACAGGTTTGTTATACTCATCGTAAGATTAACGCTGTGCATTAGTAGCAGCAGTTTGTGTTAGCGTACAGTTGCTCTGTGCTTCCCTGGTGATCTGCATGCATGTGCAGTCTCCTCTCCACTTAGTTTCTGAGGTCTTCAGAGACCCGCCGGCTTCCTGGCTGAAACCAAAGTGCCATCTCCTGGAAGCTTCGCAGTACTGCATCGCACCCGCTGCAGGACACCTGGTGGTTTTCGTTTTTTTAACCTGAGGTGTTTGGTTCGACAGAATGAGCATAATGCACATTTCGCCGTCTTTTAAACGGCTCCTGGTTTGAGTGAAAAGGAAGCTTTCAGCAACAGCCAGTTGGACAGAGCAGCAGTGGATTGCTCCTCAAACGCCGCTTTTTTTCCTCCTCTCCCTTTTTCGAGTGAGCGGCTCTTAAACAGGCAGACACTTGGCCGTACTTCTGCAAAGGCTTTGCTTCTCCCCGAGGTTTGTTTGCATTTACTGGAATCTCTTTACATACACTGCCAAGCTGCGAGATTAGTGCCCGCTCTGAAACACCATATGAAATGTATAATGTTCAAGCAGCTATTAAAGCCCACTAGCGTTTGGCCCTGTCACAGAGACTTGTTCTGTATAACTGCTCATGCAGGGAAGGAAAGAGGAGGAGAAACTTTGTCCAAACGCAGCTTGTCAGGAGCACGGTGGCGACCTTTTCCCCGACTGAAGAAATGAATCTGAGTTTTCCTTCTTTACTTTGCTCGATGTAATCTTAGCTTGTTTATAGCCGCCATGTTTACAATTACAGATCAATCTGAGTAGTAATGCATTTAAAAAAGTCCATAAAATCCGCCGATCCTTGTTTTTAATTTAACAAACACCGAGAGCTTTTTAAATAACCTGTTTTTATTATTTTCTCGTGGTGAGGAGGCAGGAACGGAGAGCCCGACAGACGGAAACGGTGACATCTGTCACCGACGGCCGAGCGATGGAGGGAAGGAAATGAAAGACGGGAGGCGTGGAGCGAGAATCGCTTTTTCATTTTCACCTTTCAGCTTCCCATTAGCCGACAGCGAGAAGCTAATGACGGAGCGGTACGATAATCTGCTGCTCGGTGCTCTCTGTCCCGTCAGGCCTGTGGAGATGTGGGACGGCGCTGTCGCAGCTCTAACAGCAGACTGTTTGCACTGGTTATCTCATCGAGCGTGTCTCTGTAGTTTATTTTATTGGCTGTTGTTCACATCGACGTGCAGCCGATCTAATTTCTGAGCTCAGATTGTAACCGCTGCTCTTGGTTGTGACAGCTCTGCAGAGCCGGTAACAAAGTAACGACCAAATGCACACTTTGATTTATGACAGCGGTTAAATGAACTCAGTATGCCGGCCGTTACAGAAACGAAGAAGAAGAAGAAGAAGTGATAAAGCGACCCCTGCTCTTTTATTGTAAAACGCCTCGTTGTTGTAAATAGTTTGGTCCTTCCTGTCGCTCTGAGGGTCACAGTGAAGAGAGCGAATGACAAATTGATAAAGCCGTGAAGTGACGTCCCATCTATTTACTGCTCCCTGCGCTACTTCCTGTTGTGCAGACAGAGCTGTAACCGAGATCAGAGGGCCGGCGTCGTGACCTGTGTCCGCTCGCTTTAATAAACACCTACACGCAGAGAGAGGTGCTGCGTTCATAAAGGATATATAACATGTGTCGTGTTTAAGAAAGTCTTTTTGCCGACGCGCCGCGAGTGTCTCACAGGTGCATCTCGCGCTCTGCTGGCGTGCTTTTCTGGCTGGCGTGCCGGCCTGGCCCCAGATTTACTGCCCTGACACAGGAATCCATTAAAAGCTGTTTAGGGATCCCAGGCCTGAGCCCCTCTGAAATCTCTTTCATTATAGCTCCAAGCTACCATAGAAGGGGAGCGGCTCGGCCAATCAGCAGTGCCACCACATGTGTTTGTGTTTAGCCCGATGGCTGCGAGGCTTAAGTGGCTACTGCACACATCTCCTCGGCTGACTTTTATGGAGAAAATGGCACTTTAACTCTTTGTGTTTCTTTTTTTTGTAATAGTGTGCGTGCATGTGTGTGCATGTGTGTGCATGTGTGTGCGTGCATGTGTGTGCATGTGTGTGCATGCACAGGCCCTAAATGAGGCCAGCGCAGCCGCACGTTACATTCCGCCTGTCTGGCTGGCACCGCGTCAGCTAATCAAGACCGGCTTGCTCCACCGTTCCAATACTGACCCCCTCCAAACTGCCCCCGCCCCTCAAACACACACTCACACACCATTCCCATCATTCTTTGGGGCTTTGAGGAATCCTGCCTCACCTCTACATTTCCTTCCTTCCCGTTTCCACTCGTTTACCTTCCTCTCTCGCTCTTTGTTCTGGCGTTTGAGTCGCGGCGCACGATCACAATCGTCCTTCCCGACACTCTGATCACTTTTGAGGCTGAACAAAATCTTTTTTTTTGGGTGACGGCCTTTGATAACGCAGCTTACATTAGTTTAAAGAGAAACATGCAGAGAGGCGGAGCCTAAAAGTGGCGTTTAAAAGCAGAGGAAACATGGCTGTAAGTGCAGCCACGGGCGCTTAAAGACAACACAGATATTGTTAAAGCTAAATGAGCAAAATGTAAAGAGTGAATTAGAAAGCGTGAGGCGGCGTTGACATCAGTGAACATGAGCGCGGTGAGAGGAACATGTGCATCTTAGTGGAAGGCATGTTAATAAGTGGCCCGGGGCAGATTTGGGCTCCCACGGGGGGAGTCCTGCCCCTGCCCTGTAAAGCTCCTGTCTCTTCCCTAACCCGCCCATTAAACACGGTACACAGGTGGCTTATTAAACCACCGTGTCAGACGACCGCAGTGCGCTCAGATCATTCACCGCGCCGCAGCGTCAGATGCACTGGTGTTATTGGTGTAGCCGGCCGCGTCTTGACTCTGCGGCACCTTTTAGTTCACCTTTAATGCTGAGTTTGATGAAACACTGCAGGGGATCTTAAAGATTTTTATCCCCAGACCCAAATTTGACAAATTTAGTCTCCACCCTGAGGACGCCGGCTCGTTAAAACAGGCTATTAGTCCCGTCTTATGGGGACCCACCAGACACACTCATTTCTTCTTTCTGTCGAATCCCAAGTCGTACCTATGAAAAGCTGCACCTCAGCAGAACGCCGTACTCTGTCTGGACTCGTGTTTATCAGCAGTCTTGTATTATTTACTGAGAAGCTGAGACACCTCCCCCAAAACCCCTCGGGTCCATTTTTATTGTTTTATCTCGTTATTTTTTCTTTCTAACTACATCCTCCTGCCTTTTTATTCTCATTAACAGCATAACTTCAGCAAGTCTCCCATGAGCATGGGCCCTCGAGAGCTGGGCTATGGGCTTGATGATGAGGAGCTGGACAACGCGAGCAAGTGAGTCTCTGAAGCCATTTTCAGTTTTGGATCGATATGTCAACATATGACAACTTGGGGTGATGGATTCAAAAGTTGGTTATGAGCAGAAGTGCTTTTGTCCTCCTTTTTTCTTTTTCCCTCGTGGTGACACTGCCCCCTAGTGGACACACTGCTGATGTCATTTGTATGATGTTGAGCAGCATGTTGCATTTGACCCTCTCATGAAAACGTGGTTATCTTGTGAAAAATGATCTCTTGGACGCGCGTGCGCACAGATGAAGGGGTAATCGCTCTTTTTCCTCCAAACGCAGGGTCTCCTCAGAGGACAGCGGCGACGTCCCGTCCTACAATGAGGACAGCGACGACTCGTACTCCCTCGATCTGGACATCGACTCCTCTCAGTCGGGCCAGATGAACCTTCTGGAAGAAATCCTGGATTCTCTGACGACCACGACGATGGACCAAGGAAGACTCAGCGCCGCCAAGAGTCTGGACTTCTTCTTGTCCGTGGATGATTTGGACTACAAAGCCCCGGTACGCAAGAGTAGGACGAGTCTCTTTTTACAGGAAGTAGAAATGCTTTTTATTTGCTAAGTTGTGAGTAAACCCAACGTATCTAAAGACCTCATTCTGACTTGAGGTCAAAGGTCATCATATGCATTAGTCAATAAAGAATAACAGCGAGGGCGAACATGCGGTGACTCTCCTGCCTCTTGTTTGCCAGACCAAGCCCACGGCCTGCAGCGAGTCCAGACCTGCAGATGAGAGCGGCTGCAGTGGAGGCGGCGATCAAGGCGGGTGGAACACGGGTCAGGATGACACTGTGGTCCACGGGAAACACCTCCCACCGTCCCCACGCAGGCAGCCCACCAAGAGCAGCCTGAAGATGTCAAAGAAATCC